ATAAGTAAAACAATACTACCATTAGTGCCATTAGTAGCAATCAGTTTAGAGATGAGATGACTCCCGGGATTTAATTTAGACACTCAGAGCTCTACATATCATTACTAAGTCATTGCTATAATTGAATTAAATGTGAGTCTAATATTCAAAAAACTTTTACAACAATTTCCTCACATCTCCTCTCAGGTTATATTCAAAGAGCAGATGATTTTTGACACTTCTTTTGCATTTAAATTATTAATATATACGATGTTTTAATATGAAATACACATTATAATTGAATATTTTTCTATTAGTCAATAATACTTAATTTATAGGGACGTAGTTTTGGTATCAAAACAACATATATTTTATAACCAAATGTTTAACTAAATTATATGATATCTCTTATCTAATTGAGTGTCTCCAATAATTGATATAATTTTCAAACCTAATTGAAAATTTGAAATATATATTGCAGTTTTAACTATAACTAGAGATCGCTAAAAAATTAGTTTGCTATATTAAATCATGATTAATTGAAATAACAAATAACAAAACTTAGTTGAAATGCTTATATAATTTAAGCAATTTTTAGTTTTGAAATTTTTGATTATTGAAGAATTATAAATTTTACACACCTTTATTTTATAGATTTTATTTGGTGTCAATTATCAGACAATGTGATTAAATAATAAAAACACAACAATTTTAACAATGTTTATATAATAAACTTTTTTTCGATAGTTATTTAACGATAAAAGTTGATATAAATTTTGTATAAAAGTTTTGTTTAAATATCTAGTATGAATTAATTTAATTTTAAAATTTGATTTTTCTTATTTATATTATAAAAACTAAATAATTGTATTATTAAATGCCTTTATTTAGCAATATAAAAGTGCCGAATAAATAAAACATTAATGAAAATATTTAATATATAATAAACATTAATTTATTTGATGTGAAACGAGTTTTAAGTGTTGTTTCTGACATCTAATAAAATATTGAAGTTTAAATAATAATTATTTTTAATTAATTACTGTCAATAAAATAAATAAATTGCTTTAAATATTAGTTTTGAAATACAAAATGTTGTCCCAAAAGGCTAACCTTTGAATAACTTTTATACAATCTCTCTCTCTCTCTCTCTCTCTCTCTTTCTGAATCACTCCTTATTGTAAAACTTATATATCATATATAATATACTTAAAAAGCTATGGTCACAGTGTAATAGTCTGTTATGTTATATATTGTATATAAGATTTTGAGATCAATTATGTTTTGATCGGTGCATCTGTTTGTGTGAAAAAGTCCTGCGGCTAACCATTAAATGTTAATATAATAATAACAAAGAGATTGTGCGCCAAATAATACTATTAATGCATTAATTATAGCATTAATTTTATACAAACAGTAATTTAAAAACAGTTGTACTCTAAAAAATGTGATGCTTTTTGGCTTCATTTGAATACTAGTCGAGAGATAAACAAACTAAACAATTATATGTTAACTATAATTATATAGTCGGCTATATTTCCAACAAATTTATCTCTATTTTAGCACCGTTTCCATCACTTTAAGCAATATGTGTATGTTATACGGTATACTAATAATAGTAAAGGTATGATACAATATACAGTATGTTTAGTATATTATATAATACAATATTTGTATGGATAGTAAATCGCATCATATATTTAAGTCAAAGTAAATGTCTTTAATTGAATTTCTAAATTCTAATCATAAAATAATTATGTATTATATTTGCAAACAATTGCAGTACAATATATATAAGTTATATACACATATAAAATACAAAATATGATATAAATAGTGTAGACTATAATTAGTGTAATTCTATTTACGAGAGTTAATGACATAAACAGTACATGAATTCAAATATTGTACTTTGCATTCAATTTTAATACTAATTAAGTCGAGTGAGAGAGAGAGAGAGAGAGAGAGAGAGAGAGAGAGAGAGAGAGAGAGAGAGAGAGAGAGAGAGAGAGAATTACAGTGAAAGTTAGCCGACAAGTCAGTCACTGCAACTGTTTTGTAGACTAAACTTTGTCTAACATAAGAGATCGTATGTTTGTATTGATTTTTTAGTGACAAATATTGAAAATAATAGATAAAAGTGTTATATTTATAGTTATTGTATGAAACCGTATACAACAACTGTATTATCATTTTGAATGTTACGCTTAAAAGAAAACTGTTTTACAAATTAGTTTCATATAATTTACACTATATTAAAGGGTTGTATATTTGAAATAATTAATGTCAATAATTAACACAACACATGAAAAGATATAAACTTACAATAATGTTAAACCATTAATAGTTTGTTTAGCCTAATGAATGCATAAATCATTAGTAAAATTCGCAAATTGTTTGAAAATTTAAATTAAATTTATAAATTATAATTTGTAATAAATAATTCATATTTTTTGTTTATCTATTAAGTAAATTTAGAATGTATAATTTTATATTTATAATATAAAAAAATAATTAACGCGAATAATTTATTACAAATAAAGTAAATAATTAGTATTATTTGTTATATAAATTAGAAATAATTAAATGGTAAAATAATGATAAAAAATTTAATATTAAATATAAAGATATTCAGAGTGTCGCTTAATTATAAAAAAATGAATGTATGATATTATTTGCATATTTTATGAGATATTATTTAGTATATAGTATATAACGTAAATGTGTTTTATTTATGATTTAAGTGAACGAAAGTTGATTTGTTTTTCAATAAAAGCTTTGAAACAATTTTAATGAAAACTAGAAAAGTCAATCATTCATTTAATTATAATTTGGATGAATTTTTTTAGTAACTAATATTGTATAAAGTGTTAGTAAAATTTGTTAGTCAATCACTTAATTTTGTTATTTAGTGCCATAAAAATGATTTTGTATTAAATATAAATTTGCATAATATAAGTGGAACTCTATTAATATTTTATAAAATGTGATTTAAGGGATGATTTTCTATCAAAAGTGAAGCCAATGTTTAAATTAATAGTGTTTTAAACAGAGATTTATGAATAAAAAGTAATGTATATATTGTATTACAAGTGTTATCTCATTGTTTGAAATTTGCACAATAATTGAAGCGTTAAATAACATAAAATAAAGTCGATAGGCATCGGTTGCTGTGACCGCACATTAAATCAAATCATATTTATGTAATGTATAACTATATGTATATTATATAGTTTATTGATAACATATATATTGATAACATAGCATTAGCTAATAACTAATAACTCGATTATTTAATATTAAAATATACAAAACTTTGATAGTAAAGAGCCGATTGATTGATAGCCACAAAAGTTTCGGCATTTATGTTACATAAGCAATACACACATAAATACAATATACTCTTATCAGTGATATCTATGCCATAGTATGCCATACCATACTCACAACACATCCCAAACCATCAATAGTACAGTACATATAATAAAAGACAATTTCACGCAAAAGCTGTCGTTTTTTCTATGGTTAAGATATGTCGCGTTGACGGCTATTAATAAAAATTGACTTTTGGTTGGTTTGTGTCAATGTTGTGGTGATAATCACATGTTTTGTGTGTTGGCTAAAGAATATTTGTATTTTCCAACTTATGTTTAGTTATGTTAAATAAATCTTATAATAATATTATATTTTTAAGTGTTATCATTGTACCTCTCTCTCTCTATCTCTCTCACACACACACACTCCCCTCTCTTTCGTATATATATTTATATGAGACCTACTTCAAGAAGTCTCAAGTATTGTACAATAGATTGTTGTGAATTGATAGTTGTTTTTCATAGATATTGTTATTCATGAAGAATGGTTACAATTTTGGTGTTATTGATAGCTCAGGGCTCGAGTGGTCTTTAAGTATTAAATAGGAAAAGTGAGAAATATTTGAAAATACAGTATTAGGTTAGCTTTGCTTTTGTAGTGTTTATAACAAGTTTAGGGCATATTTTTAGCGTTAGTTTTCTTTAAAAATATAATAGCAATGAAAGCCCCCTTAAGAGGCCGTTCAATACAAATGAAGAACTTCTTCACATAGAAGAGCCCCCTTTGTAATGGCCATTGAAAGAGTCCATATCTTATAGGACTATTCATATGACAATTCTTCATATTGACACTACAATCCATCTCAAAGATGCCTCTCTTTTGTTCATTTAGTGATGCCTAATGCCAGTGCTAATGTCAGTGCCCACAATCATAACACTAATACATACACAATGTGTGCACTTTTTTGAGTACCAAACAAAATATTATGTAATGATATGTGAAATGTGAACACAACTCCTCCGATGACTTTTATTCGTCACACAACTAACACAACTTGCTCTCCAACCAAACTCCTCCCTGAGCTTTAGTTTTCTAGTTTATCGGGAGGAGTCATAAACATCTCTCTCTCTCTCTCTCTCTCTCTCTCTCTCTCTCTCTCTTTCTAAACAAAATTAGTTGTTTAGTAAGTATTGAATTTGTAAAGAGAGAGACTATGTGAGAGATATGGGGGGAGAGAGGGGGGTCTAAAAAGCTAAGAGAATGCTTTGAGAATATTTGGTTTTGTGGCAAATATTGGATTATATGATAGTATAGGTGTTTTGCATTAGTGAACGCATGCACTGGTCCTCTGGTCTATGACTGCACTCCTCTCTGACTGTAATCTATGGATATGTTTGTAATGTTTTGTGCGTTGATATACTCTCTCTCGTATTATATTCCGCCTCAATATATGCATCACTAGTTGTGATCGCAGGTGTGCTTAACAGTGATCTCTATACGGATCAAACAATTTTGTTTGTGTTGTCGTGCGATACACACATTTATACCAATATATATATACAACGAATATATCAAATATTAGACTTTACTTTTAAATCAATAAAAGTAGTGAATCGCCGATATTCTTGTAAATCTTTGTCTACTAATGCCAAACAATAATCCCAAAGAGCGGTGTTTAAGAGTTTTATTCAAAGCTTTAATGGATTGAGAAAAGAGTTGCCTATAGTTTGTGACGAAGGAGTCGATAGACGAAAGTGGTATAAGTGGTCACAAATAGTCACAAGAGATGCCTCGTCCGGGAAGAAACACATACGGCGATCAAAAGCCGCCCTATTCTTACATTTCGCTCACATTTATGGCAATCCAGAGTTCAAAGGAAAAAATGTTGACTTTAAGTGAGATCTATAAGTTTATAATGGATCGGTTCCCTTATTATCGCAAGAATACACAGCGATGGCAAAACTCTTTAAGACATAACCTCTCATTTAATGATTGTTTTATGAAAATCCCACGAAGACCCGATAGACCCGGCAAAGGGAGTTATTGGGCTCTACACCCAACTAGTGGTGATATGTTTGAAAACGGATCGTTTCTTAGGCGACGCAAACGATTCAAACTCGGAAAACATTTTAAAGACTTGGATCCACAACAACAAAAAAGTATCACTGAATACCAGAACAACTTGGATGCCCACAACTCCATCCAAGAACAGGCAAAGATGCGTCTGACAGCTCTCGCGGCCGCTCCGAGTCATCTGCAAACACATCTCAACTCAGACATCGGTCATAGTTTTCATCAAAACCCATATAACAAACAGTCTTTTTCAATAGAAAATCTAATCGGAGCAGAAAAAACCAAAGAAAATTCGTCGATATCACCGCACCAGTTGGCAGTGGCACAGGAACAGGCACAGGCAGCTGTTAGGGCTGCTATTCAAGCTGCTTCTGCAGGATCTCTTATGTCGGCTCCTGGTTTTAGGCCAGGTTTACCCGCATTTCCCGGAGCACCAGGAGTACCTCCAACAACACTACCGTGGACTACACCCTATACTACATCATCAGCAATGGCTGTGGCAGCCGTAGCCGCGGCATCATTGCACTCTCAATTGGGACCCAATGGGTGTCCATTGGGAGCAACAGCTCTACCATTTCCGGCAGAATTTCCTCATTTGTTGGCAATGAATAGCGCTTCGTTTGCTGCAAGACATGGTCTCACAAATACCTCATTAAATTCACTCAATTCTCTAAATTTTTCTTCATTACCATCAGTGCGACAACATTTGTTACCAGCTTTTCATCAGTTTCCCAATTTTGCGGCCGCAGCCGCGGCTCTTGAAGCCCACGATCAGACTGCAGCTCTACTGAGTGCCGCCGGATCTGCAAATCTAACGCCACCCCCAACCAGTACGCCCTCACCTCCTGTTAGAGTGGACTCTGTTTCAAGTGATGTCTCAGCCAAGTCTTTAGATGTCGTTTCAGAGGATTCATTCAAATGACAACTAAATGATGATTACAAAAGACTGATAAAAATGACTCATTTTGTGTATTAAGATATTTTTAGTGTTAAATAGTGTAATGTATTAAATATTTAATATAATGTATAGAAAAATAATCAACACATTCACATAATTATTATTATCGTCTCATTTGTCACCATTTTTTCTGTTCCTAAAAACTATATTTATTTTAAAGTCATATAAAAAGAAAATATTTGAGGACCTGATCGGCAATAATAACTTCCAAAAAGATATACAACGACTCAAAAAAAACTAACAAACATTATGAAGAAGATATGAATCTAAAGAATGAAATGAATGGTAGGATTAATACCTTCAATAATATAATTAATTGTTTAGATTAATAACACCATTAAATAGGTATAATGTTTAGGATTTAATTTTTGTAAAAATAAATATTAAGTGAAAGTAATCTATCATTTTATAACATACAAAAAACATTGTAGAAATAATTTTATGATTTATAATAATCATTTATTGTCTATTATTGTAAAGTAATAATTAAAATTTTTATTTATGCCTCAAATATGTGATTAAAATGAGTCTCACGTTTGCTCATTAAAATTATATAATTGAAAAACAAAATCCATTTGACTATTATTTGAATAGTTTTTAAGCGCGACTTTAAATATGTGTTCAAATGTCACAATCACTCAAAACTCGCATAAAGTTAAACTCAATAATGCATCCAAAAAAAGTTAAGTTCATATTTAAAGCATGACTTAAATGCTTATATAGTTTACTCTAAGATATAACTTATGCCGTATATATAGTATAATCGGTTTCACGACTTAAAGCCCATGTGTTAGTTACTCTCCACACAAAAGGACCGACACTTATGATGAGCACTGGCACTCTCATTAATACAGTATTTATAGTAAATTTATATTACAATATACAATACAATTTTTTATTTAGCTATTTTGATAATACCATTGAATAGATAGACTAATTAAATGCCATCAAATTAAGTCAATACATCACAGGATTAACTATAGATTAGATTTTATTTGTCTGACCTTATAGTTCAGTAGAAACTATTTTAAAATACTATTTAATACATCATTTAAAATATATCACATATTTTTTTATTTATGAAAATAAATATATTTCTTTCTTAACATTCTTTAAAATTATTCATTATACTGTACAGTATTTTTAAGTTATCAATAAGTTTGAAGATTTATATTATCTTTAAAAAACTATAGTATTGTATATTACAAAGCAATAAAAACTAAGATAGTATTATTTATTTTATTGATTTAAACTATATTTATAGTTCTAAATATGTGAATAATATTTATATAATAGTAATTTACTATTTTATTAGGTTTTACAATTTCTAAGCAAAATTTTTAGGATATTAAACTCAATTAGTGACAAAAAAAAATATTTTTTTTACAAAATCTTATCGTATATAAAAATATGTTTTGTTTACTATCTTAACGTAAATATTTAATTTATTATACAAATATTTGAATACACAATATAGTATAACACAAAGTTTTGGTAAAACAAACTTCTGAAAGCTAAGAATAAAAAAGAGAAATAAATACATTGAATAGTGACATCATTTTTAATATAAGGCATTATAATATTATCAAACATTCAACACACATCCAAACAAAGCAAACAAATAGATAATTACAAAATACTGTATTTTTTGAGATAATAATCAAATGATTTAGTTTTTATTTAAATACATTCATGAGTGTGATTCCTGTTTTTCATAAGACTGTCTCAAATACAATATACGGCAAGTTTTATATATGTTTAAAAACTTGTCAATAGTTAACTTGTTGTTGACTAATGAATCATTAATAATATGAGTAACACTTTATATCTCTGTTATGAAAGAATATCATTTAACGTAATATTTTTTCAAGTTTTATATTTTGTGATAATTTATTTTTAATTACAAAAATATAATATTTCATAAATGAGATTTTAATTAATTGATTGTAACGTTATATTCAGTACCTTTAGCTTACAATCGTTAAACTTTTTTATTTTACTGCTTTAATACAAATATAATTTAAATTTTATTCGATATATTTACAATATTATTAATATAAACAAATATTTGTCATAATTATTATAAAATTATCATTAAAATAATGATGTTATTATGTTTATATAAATTATCAGTGAAACATATGATATATTAAAATTTCTACATATAAAAATATATTACATTATAATTGAATTTTTATTACAATATACAATACATATAAAATAATGAAATATCTTTCAATCAATATTAAAAGTATACTCTCTTTATGGCAATAGTGTTGTATATTACATATATTGTATATCTCAATAGTAAAATAAATATAAATTTGATATATTTCTAGATCTTTTTTTTTATATAAAAAACTTAAAATTTATTTAAATGTTTATTTGCTTCAAAATTTTATATTATTTTAAATGTTATATCTATTTTAATTTGTAGTGTTACTCAAATGTTTTATATAATAATAATAACAATATAATAAATATTGTACATACAGTATATATATATATATAAAAATACAAAATTACAATGTCAACAATTTAATGTTTGTACAAATTAGTTTACAATAAAGAAATTTTATAATTATAAAAACTGTTTTTATAATATTAGTTTTTAATTTTTAAATTATTTTTATATGTTATCTTTAAAGTGCCATAATTTCATGTAACATAAATGAAAGTAAAATTATTTACATATAGCTATTAAATAATCATTATTTAATAATTTTAGTGTTGATTTGTATTTTATTACATTTCAAATGCTGTATCCAATGACACACACTTTGAAGGTATAGGATATATCTTGCGATGCGAGAGATGTATTGATGATTGAGTTTATCGTTTATATAGCTATTCATTTTGGTATATCGTTTAACTATAATATTCAATAGTTGTATTGCAATTACATATAAAAAGCATTATTTGCGGTGTTTTCTAATTTGTAGTTAATCTACGGCTAATGTCCATTAAATTGAGTGTCCTTGAGATGAGATTTTTAAAGGGGCTAAAGGCCAACAAAAATGTTTATCTATAATGTATTTTACCGTATATACAGTATATATTGTATATAAATATCTGTGTTTTTTAGTTATATTTATGTGGTGTGTGAGTAAAACCCCGGGATCTGTTCACTGATACTTTCGGTAATACTATTGGTGTGAAAGTTATTCACATGATTAATGTATACGAAATATTCATAACATTTAATATCTAATATCTATGGGTCAAAAAAATGTTTACTCAATGAGGTAATGGCAATAGATTTCTATAGGTAGTGAATACACATCTTAAATGATAATAGTTGTCTATTATTAGCATATCTGTTCAATGGTATAGTTAGTGTGTGTATGTGTGCTTGTTGTGGGTGGTCTTTATGGCCCATCACTGGTCTCTATTATGTCCATTAATAGTGAGGCCTTTCATAAAATACCTAAACTACAAAAAGTCATTCACAAGCAAATACTTAAAAATGTTAGGTTATTGTCAAAAAGCAATAGACCTCAATCAGTAACAAATATATATATATATATATATATATATATATATATATATATATATATGGTATATAAGGATATACGGCTATTTATACGATAAACATGTATTCATTACATTTTTACTAATATTATAAACCGGGCATTCATTTATAGTGCATTCATATATAACAGAAATTCATAAAAATATGTTTACAACATAACTTTTAAACATTACAATATTTCAATACTTGATTATGTTTTTTGAAAAAAATATTTTTATTTCAATAATAATATAAAAATAATTGACATTTTGTGAAAAAATGCAGACATATACCTAACAAATGGTTTTCCTTATAAATGCTGAAACGATACAACATTTTCTATTCGTATTTAATAAATTAAATATATATTTATTTAAAATATTTATACATAATATTGATTGCATTTTAAGATTTAAGATGAAAAGTACTGACTCTTTATAAGTCATCTTTAAATTAAGTATTGAAAGTCGAGTTGCTTTTGTTGGACATAAAGAAGTCATTCATTCAAAAATGAGTCACTGCTTCTTAAGACACCCCTCTGTGATACTTGAAGTACAGGTGCGACATAAGTATAGTATATATTATATGTATAAACTTATTTACTACTCTCAACTTATTTGCTGACATCAGTTACATTAATATATTATATACTGTACTATATATTGTTTATTTTAAATTTTAAATATTATGTAAATATGCATAATTTACAAGAAACTTATCAAATATTTAAATATATAATAAATCAATGGTTGATCAAGATAATTTATCAATTTGCTAATAGAGTAATGAGTTTTCTAAAAATGGTATCAAAATAAATAAATAAATAAAATAAATATAAATCATTAACATTTTATTATCTAGATTTGTAATATGTACAATAATTTAAATTTCAATTCAATTAAATCAAGTTTAAATTCAAAAATTTATTTTTTAAATATATATATATTATAATTTTTCTATACAAATGTTTATCTAAAACGTATTATTTGAAATATTTTTTGATTTAATAATTTAGTTTCTAATAACAACATAAAAATTGTTTTAAAAACAGAGAAGTGAGGGCCGAAAGCAAAATAAAATAAAGTCAAACATTTTGATTGCTCTTTAAATTAAGTTTATTAATTCAGCTAATAATGCAAAAAGTGATTCATTATATATTGTTTGAAGATATCCGATAAGGTTCTCGTAATCAACTTATTATAGGGGATAATATATTATCTGTAAAATTATAATGATTTGAAAAATATTGTTAATGAGTTCATAAATAGTGTATAACATGTTTTGATGTCTTATAACAGGTTTGATTAGAGCATCGGATAACACTATACATAATATTTATATAAACTTAACGATTATATCCGAAATAGCATAGAGAATGGCATTAAAATTATTAACACAAACAAAAAAAGTACCGCTTTTCCAATGAACACAAATTTGTCTCAATTTTTGATTA